TGTGTCTTATTAAATTTGGTTACAGCATTTGGTACTATATAAAGATGTTTTCATGTTAGTAGGATAAATGTTTGAATGAAATTAAAAATAAATTCATAGTAGAAAATAAGATAATCTTTATATAACTCAATAATTCTACAAATCCTAAACATAATTCATGATCTAGTGTAAGACCATTTTAATTTAATCTTTCTTCTAGCTTGCCAACAACTGCGTGCACTATTACTTGATAGGAATATGTGTCTTGTGCCAATTTGGTTGTCCTATAACTTAGTAGCTGAAATGTTAGCAAAAATATGGAAAATAATAATCAACCTGCTGTAATTAGTTTATACATGCAAATATATCCACAAAATCCATACAATTTTACTAAAATTAGTTAATGTTATTATCTCAAGTAACTTTGTGAATTCAATATAAGTTTTTAAAAACTCACTTTATTTTTCTCTTTTTTTTGTTGTTTTTTTTGTGAGATAGTCTCACTCTGTCACCCGTGCTGGAGGGCAGTGGTGTCATCATAGTTTACTACAGCCTCAAACTTCCAGGCACAAGCAATCCTCCTACCTCAGCCTCCCAAGTAGCTGGGACTATGAACATGCACCACCACATTGAGCTAATTTTTCTAATTTTTGTGAGACAGGGTCTGGCTGTGTTGCTTGGAGTGGTCTAGAACTCCTGACCTCAAGTGATCCTCATGCCTCAGCCTCCCAAAGGGCTAGGATTATAGGCATGAACCAATGCACTCAGATACTTAATTTTTGTTTTTAATATTTTCCTAATACGTTCTATCTACTTGAGCAAGTCACGATTGCCTGGCCAGTTGAGTATATAGACTAATTCATGTTAAGTACAGAGACTAATATCTGTAGTGATCCATGCATATACTCACAAAATTAAAACTTCTCAATAGTCTGTTTATTTTGGATTATTCTGAAATGTGTTATTTCGAAAATACTAGTGGAAGCTTTAGGCAAGAAATTTCAATATTATTTGAAATTGTTTACAAGAGTTAATTACTTACAGGTTTGAATGGAATTTTATTTTATTTTTTTCTCTTCAATAAATACAGCATATGTTTTGCATCATTACAGCATTTTTCTCTGCTTTCTTCAATAGACTACATTAGAAACTGCATCATTGGTAAAGGAGGCAGCTACAAGGGAACTGTATCTATCACTAAGAGCGGCATCAAATGCCAGCCCTGGAATTCCATGATACCACACGAACACAGGTAAGAACAGTATGAAGAAAAGAGGATGGAGCCCCTCTTTAATATGTGTCAACAGCCTCGCATTAGTCTTTCAGAATACTTCTACAGTTCCATAGTAACTCAGCCAACTTTGCTGAATTGTACTAGGCCAAGGCTTGTGTGAATTCATGACTGATGTTGAGCAAAAGACTAATAAATTTATCAATAAAATGTGGCCTAACATTCTCTTATCGCAATGCTTCAATCTGTAGATCTTGATGTTTGTGAAGAAATAATGTAAACTTTACTTTTAAAAATATTTTTCTTCCTTTTTCTTTTGGCTTTGAGAAAGTACAGCAGTATGCAGCTAGAGATAGTGATTGTGAAAAATCAGAGATAGACCAGATTCTTAGCTGAGGACTGGGTGATCTTTAACCTTGGTGGCTCTAGACCTTGACTGCACATCAAAATCACCTGTTTTGAGCCCTTGAAAAGCCCACCAACCAGGTGGCAACACAGACCAATTAAATCAGAATGTCTGGGGGGAATGAAGTACTAGTATTTTTTTAAGGTCCCCAGATGATTCCAAAGTGCAGCCAACGTTGAGAACCACTGCTAAAAGCTCACGCCTCAGACTGACAAGCTTTCCCATTTCACCTACTGCCTAAAGACTAGAGAAAACTTGTCATTCCTTGGAAATTAAATGTCTACACTGAATAGGGCAATTGTGCTCGTTATAACAGATGGATACTATTTAAAGATGAGTAAACATAGTATCCATAAGCTCATGAGACTGAGAGTGTTAGTCATCATGGAAGAAAAACATAGATATTTAATACCTACTAGAGCATCAGTCCCCAACCTTCTTGGCACCAGGGACAGGTTTCATGGATGATCCTTTTTTCAGGATAGGTCAGGTCGGGGGAGAGGAGCAAAGCTCAGGCGGTGATGCAAGCAGTAATAGGGAGCGGCTGTAAATACAGATGACGCTTCGCTGGCTCACCGTCTCCCCCATCTCCTGTTCTGTGTCTCCCCCCTTACTAAGTTTCATGGAAGACAATTTTTCCACCGATCGGGGTGGGGGTGGCGGGAGTTGAAGTTCTGAGGCCCGGTCCCAGACTGGTACCCTGTCCTCCACCCCAGGGGTTGGGGACCACAGTACTAGAGAACTAAATATAGCCACAGTTTTCAAGACTTATTTCACAAATGCTTTCAAGAGGAATAATGAAGTTTAACATAGCTCTCCTCTGGTTAGTAAATGCATTGGAAGATTTAGTTTCCCATGTGCCGAGTAGCTTGCTGAGCAATTTAACTGGTTTATCTCATTTCATCCTCACAAGATCCACACAGTGGGCAGTTTTATTAGTTCTATTTTATATACAGGATGAAACTGAAACACAGAAACTTTAGTCCGGGTTCAGGGTCATGCACAACTAGTAAGTGGCATGACCAGATTGTAAGTGCAGCCACCATCACTCTACAACCTGTGTTTTTATGTCAGTAGGATGCGTGTTGTGTGACTTGTTTATGCAGTACTGGTGATGACTTTGCCTTGATGAATCCACTTTTTATTCCATTCCATTTTGGGGCATGATTTTGCAACATAATTTTACTTTAGTACACAGACATGAGTTACTTGGCCAACATAGAAAGAAAAAGAGTTAGTTGCTTTGCACTGTGATCAAACTGGTGATTTTGGCCTAATTAACACCAGCTTAGTAAGTGTCCGAGCTGATCAGCTCTATGGTAGTTCAATAATAGAAAACGACAATTTTCACAAATTAATTACAATTATGTAGGAACACCTACCTCTACGCACAATATTATTCTTATATTACAAAAACAAATGATATGTCCTTCCTTAAGAGTTTCCATGGTGTCACCCCCTTCATAGTGAAGAAAACATTTTATTTAAATAGATGGCTTTAAGTTTTTCATGAACAAAGGAATAGCATTTGAAATCAATCCTACCAGTCCAGGAGAGTGCATTGAACTGACCTAGTAGAGGTCTTATTTCAACCCAAATTCTCTATGATTGTGATTCTCTGCAAAAGGAGTAAATGAAATAGATCTGCCTGGGAACTGGTTTCCCAGTCCGATCAGCTATTTTACCAACGAACACTTCCTTGTGATACAGACGTTTATGGCTGAGAGGATCTTGTATATTAATCAAATCCTTTTTTGTATGTGGTGGAAGCAACACTTAATTTTACTCAATTAATAATCTATTGGAATATCTGCATGATAACACTTTTAAGTTGTGTTGACTAAAGATTAATTTTATGGGAAATGGAGAAAGAAATATGTTTTTGTCAGGAGGAATGATTTATTGTTGACTCCCTAAATTGAAATATTTTACAAGTGGCTTAATAGGAAGATGATGATGGATGATGAAATTAGTGGAGAACTTTAACCAGAAAATCAGGTGACCTGTTATCTACATCTGTATCTTTCATTGGCCACCCAGCATTCATTAATGAATCAGATGATGAAATAGATCAAGTTTCCTACAAACACAGTTAATATTAAAAGAAAAGAAAGGGAGGCTAGCACCCAGAAGACCTAGTTTATATTTCAAAGTATATTTGGATATAACCCAATCTTAAGTATTTCTTTACTTATCTCTCTTAAAGCCTGGCTAACATCAAGGACAAAGGACCAAAAATAGTGCCTTTGTTAATAAAAGCTTATTACAGAGCCTACTGACTGGCACAAGCCTTGTGTGTAAGAGTTTCTCACAAACATGCGTTGAATGAACACATATAAGTGAAAGAGCAGGGCTAAGCTTCATACCTTGGCCATGTATGGATGCTAGAGCAAAGTAGGCTAAACACCTTGGGACACAAAAGAAAACCAGTTAATTTAGGTAAAATGTAAAATACACCCAGGAATGAAGAAAAAAGTTGACCCAGACTGCTCTTTAACCTCCATGTCCTAGAGGCGAATTTGATATGGTTTGATTCAGAATTGTGGAAAGAAGTCTCTCTTTTCTCTTCCTTTTGATTTTATTAACTCCAGTGGGGGAAGTTTATTCATCTTTTAGCTATTTCTAGTTTTGATTTCTACTTTATCTCTCTTCCTTTTTGCCTACATTTTTCCTACTAAATTGTTGATTGATTCATTTACTACTTCACAGCTTCTTTTTGGCTTTACAAATCCATTGGAAAGGTACACGTGTATATATGTGTGTGTATTTCTGAGTGTGTGTGTGTGTGTGTATGGGATGAAAATTCTTTCTAAAACTGTAGATATTGAATATACATATGTGTGTTGAACATATGGTAAAACCACTAGGTTTCTTAATGAATTTTAATATATAAAATGACACCAAAAAAGGGAAAGTATAATAATCTAGTTCACTCCATTCATCTTATAAGTGAAGAAATTGAAACCCAGAAAATAAATAAATTGTCTAATGGCTAACGTCATATACTAGTCAGGTGAAATATATACGACAACAATGTAGGTTTTATGATTAACAATAACTTCTTACCACTCTACTATACCAAGCTTTTTCATAAAATAGTTACAGTAGAATTTTCTTAAATAAATTTGATTAGGGAATTACTTTGTAAAAATATATGAAGCAAAAGTCACTTCTGATTCTGACAGAAAAAAGAATATTTTCATATAAATTTACTATAAAAATTGAAGAGGTGAAAAGATCAAAGAAAATAAATTTCAGGCAATACCACAAACAAAAGATACACTAAAATATTTTCTAATCATGGGGCTAAAACTAAGACAAAAAACAAATGACCTTTTTTAAAATCACTGTTTGAAACTGTGAAATTATTAATATGATGAGCTTTAATTGCATTATAGTTTTTGTTAATCATATGGCCTATTGTCTTATTTTTGTTTCACAACATTTAAAATGCTAGTGAAGAAAGAATATACTCCTTATCTAAAGACACTTAAGGAATTGCATTAATGTTTACAATGTTTAATTGGTTCCTTGAAAATGTTTAGTTAGTAATAAGTCTCTTAGAATAGACTGTTTCTTTTTGAACAGTAATCTGTATTTTTTGAGGACTTAACTCAGGTGTATATTCATGTCAAAATGAGAGAATTTCATTGCAAAATGTTGCTTGGTACCTGACGCATGTCTGTATTTGGTTTGTGTCACAACATAAAGGAAAATGATGGTTTCTTTATTAGAAGTTTCATTGGGTAGGGAACACATGTGAATGGTATTTACTGAGAGCTTACAATCCTTGGACTTCACTCTAATTTAAGTTTCATGTAGGACTCAGAGATCAGTAAAAGTAGAAATAAAATTTTTAACAAAAACCAAAATGAATATTGAAAATGTAACTGGATTTTCAAAAAAATGTTTACTAGTGTTTCCTACAGATATATATTCTTTATTATGATCTTTTGTGTGCAGTCTAACAGAAAAATGTAGCATCCTTGAGTCTAATATCATAAGAAAAACAAAAGAATAAAAAAGGCTTGGGCTTTTCTGATTGCGATGAAATACTTTATGCCGGTAACAAAACTATGACTAGGACATTAGAAATTTTAAATGAAGGTAATGTATTACGGTTACTGCACCCAAAGGCCTATTATTATAAACTAAAACTGGGAGCACCAAGCCCCAGTCAAAATTATCAAAATTTTTGAGGAAAATAAGCAATTCTGTTCTTTAATTAGGACAGAGGCCACAAAGTGGAGTGTGCTTAATAACAGGTTATCAGTGTTATCGGTGTTACTGTTAAGTGTCAATTACTCTATCATTTTATTGAGCTTTTCAGAACAAGCATATAAGGTGTAAGATAGTGTAGGTTATGGTATGCTCAGCATACAGGTAAGCCAATAGGATGAAAGAGGCTAAATTACTTGCTGGGGTCTCACAGTGAGAGAAAGTGCTGAAATTTGAGTCCAGGTTTAATTTGATTCTGTACTCTTTGTTCATGTTACTTCATCAATCTGTTTCTCAATTGTGAAGAAAAAAAGGGGGCTTTTCTTCATAAGAAAAGCAATAAACAAGCAAGTAATGATCTGGGATAAGGAATGTAATAAATAGTGAGATTTCAAAGTCAATTGCAGCATTTTCTCAGTTCTCTCCTAAGTGGACGCGCTCAATCATTTGCTACCCTTGAGTGGAGCTTGGAAATTGTGTTACAAACATCAATTATGTTCTAGAGTGTTTGGCTCTTGGCAGATCTGAAGGCTAATCCTTCTAAAGTGATGTTGAATATGGCAATTCAGTTAAATGAATGTTAATAAAATTCAAGTACTTTAAGAATGAATGGAAATAACAGAATTTAAGTTAAAATATAGGAAGGCATGTGAGATAAAATAAAGCGTTTCTCAACTTTCAGACAAACATATCTGCTACCTAGTAAAATTAATAGGCCAAAAATAAAGTTGCATGCTCTTATACTGTAATGATTATCATTTTAAAACTAGCTTTTTGCCTTCGAGCTATCGGGGTAAAGACCTACAGGAAAACTACTGTCGAAATCCTCGAGGGGAAGAAGGGGGACCGTGGTGTTTCACAAGCAATCCAGAGGTACGCTACGAAGTCTGTGACATTCCTCAGTGTTCAGAAGGTAAATGAATCTGAATGCCATGTGGGGCATTCTATTCCCCCTGTGTGTAGAACTGTAACTCACATTGAAAGTTCATAGAAACAAATCAATCACAATAAATATGTTGTTCATTCAAATGCAACTCTAGATAATTATTTGAGCATTTTTACACAATGTTTTTGAAACTATCTGATTATCAACAGATTATTGCAAAATAATGGAGTGAGTTATCCATCTGACTTCCAACACAGCCTGAGACATCCCTCTGGGGAGTGTAAAAGAGTAGGTTTATGTACCTACTGTCCTGTAGGAGCAGAATGAAACTTAATCCTTTATTAGTAATACTAATTGTGTGTTCATCTAGCACCTGCTTCCACAGAAATTTTGTCAAAACTTCTTTGAAATGGTGTGACAAGGGTATATGGATCCAGAAGAGAATACAGTATAAGAGAGGGAATGCTGGAAGCTCAACCTCCACTCCCTCCATGTGCGTTTTGGTGAAAAGCTGCCTAGAACCAAATCTGACATGTAGACTGGAACTGTGTACCATTCAGAATAGTATCTAAAGAGATCTAAGCAATGGATCCCAAGCTGTCTTGAAGGCAGGCACCTTAAATCCATGTCTGTGTTTTTACCTCTTCTCACAGCATAAAAGGGCGTTGTCCTTACTTTTGCAGTGGAAAACTGAATGGCTGACAAGATGGAAGAGTAATCATTTCAGCAGTGATTGTGGTTTCATTTTTCTAAGTTCTCTAGCTATTGAATAGCTGGGTTTTTCAGTTCTGTGAGAAAGTCTAAATTTCCAACAATCTAAGTGAAACATGGACGAAATTCTGTTAGAAATTTATTAAGATTTTGAAGTATTTGGGTAAGGGACTATTGGAATGCTGTCCAAGTTTTATAGCAAGATATCTTAGCTGTTTGTTATTAACCGAATATTTCTTTAATAATATTTCTTCCAGAAATATCCATTGAATATTAGGTTGATATTTATCTCACGAAAAGTAAAGGCCATTGTTAGTTTATTGTCACGGAGAAGGTGAATTTGTTTTTTGTTGTTGGTTAATTTAAAATCCTCGACTTTATGTGCTAGAGCCAGTTTCATCTTTGTTTGTAAATTCTTACTTTCCATTCCATATCATATTCTGTTCCCTAGAACTTCTTCATTGTTTTCTTTTCTTTTAAAAATAATAAACTTACCTGTGATAACGTTATGAACAAGTCTGTTTTGTATGAATAAATCTATGATTAATATTTGTCTTAACTTTGCACATGGAAGAAAAAGATCCTACCTGTAGGGGAATCTCTACTATCACAGTTTTCTGAGGTTGAAAATCATTGGTAAGGAGTTTTGTTTATTATTATTATTTGACCTGGCAAAGTGTTTTCTAAGGCAGGTAATGTGGTCATACTTTAAATAGCTTAGCATTTACACTGCCTGCTTGGTCCTTGTGAGAATGTGATTTTTCCTTTCCTGGATTATGAGAAGGACCTTCAACAAAATATACTTACATGGATCCGGGCTGATGGGAGACATAGATTAAAAGTGCTAGAAGAGAAGCAACTGGGAAAAATTCTATTTTCAGTCATCCGTACCTTATTAGAATGTGACTCTCTAATATCTTTTAATAATTTGAAATCATCACATCTCATTTACAAAAGGGCATTGCTCGTTGGTTTTAATGGCACATGATGCTATTGGTCACCATGGCACTAAAGATTGCAGATGTGCTTTTTCTGGAAACAGTTAGAAACCTGACAATAGTAGAGAAACTCTCCTGTGACAGAAGGAAACAAACATCTGCCCTGTAAGTTAAACATATTTTAGAGAGTGTGAATTGAACTGTGATCTTTTAAGTTCAATCTAAAATGAACAATGTTTTAGCAGGATTTGAATAAAGAAGATCCAAAATAAGAAGCATTGTCCAAGTATTAATAGAGAAAAACAGAGATAGGATGGATAATACAAAATATACAAAGTACTGTAGATATGATGTAAATTTCTACTAAAATAAACATATGAGAGAGAAACCTCAAAATCCAGAATGCTTAAAGAGTATAATGGGCCATTTCTATCCATGGATATCAATTTATT